TTCCTTCCTTCCTTCCTTCCTTCCTTCCTTCCTTCCTTCCTTCCTTCTCTCCCTCCCTCCCTGTATAATTTTGGTTTTAGCCAAAAGGAGCAGACAGAAAACAAAAAACAGATAGAGAAAAGATGGAGAAGCGAACTGCTCATGAAAAGGAAAAATACCAGCCTTCATACGATACTACAATTCTCACTGAGGTAAAAGTAATGAAATGTTTTATTTGTTAAGAGAAGTAATGCAAAGTATACCTGGCCTACTTTAAGCAGTAAGTTAGGTTTCAAAGGGGAGGGGCTTAAATAAAATTTATATAAAGGCAAAGTTTGTTTGGCAGTTGTAGATCACAATGAAACAGAAGACCTATAAGATTTAGGATCAAGAAAATAGATACTCTGTTAAAGCATTTATTTTTACTCATGGCTATCTCACGCATGTATCTTAAAAACCAGTGCTAAAAATATTGTATTACAATTTGTTTTTTCCTTGTCAGTTTGGACCTACAATAGTATTTAAAAGTTAATGGAATCATGGGCAGAGCCTCACTGGGCTTTTGTATTTCTTTTTATTTAAACACCAGTGAGTTTTCTATAGCTTTCTAAAGATTGCAGATGTTTTTAAAAGGCTTTAAAGTTTTTCCTCACTGTATAATGAAAAGAAATTGATCCACATCTTTGATGTTTGTCCAGATAAGGCTTGAGCCTATAATTGAAGATGCAGTTGAACATGAGCAGAAAAAGTCCAGCAAGCGGACTTTGCCAGCAGACTACGGTGATTCTCTGGCAAAGCGAGGCAGTGTAAGGGACTTCTGCTTACTTTTCATTGTGCAAGTTATCTTGTGCAGTGTTAGATATAGGACCAATTTCTATCATCCATGATCGAAAACAAAGATTTTTCCTGGGCTGGTTTAATTTTATTCACTTTTGCTTACTGCAAATTATTTCATACATATTTCTTAGTGAGAAATGTTTCCTAAATCTAACACCTAATTAAAATGTTAGCAGGCCTGTAACACTGATAAAAATCAAGAACTGTGGTTTACACATGAAATGGCTATGTTAAATAATAAACTGTTCTTGAAAGCCAATTCCTCATATGTAATTAATGAAATCAGATATAGCAGTAATCAATTAGTTGAGATGTATATTTCCTTATTTTGGCTTGCATGTTTTGTGAACTATTTCATCAAAATGGTTGCAGATCCTCTTGCCTTTTTGATTATACTCCTTTCTATTTCTTGATTTTTTAAAATATAAGAACTATATAAAAATTCTGTTTGCTTAATGTGCAAATATGTACATTTTTTCACATAATTTATTGAACAGTGGCAATATAATCCTATTTATAATAAAGGGGATTGTCTAAGAGTTAGAATGGAGGCTGCTTTTAAGAATCAGTCTGCCTGAATAGCTGGTCTTTTTATTATGCTTGCTATCTTTAGTAAAACTAGGACTAGGTATATGTATATACGAATACTCTCTACTGGGCCCATATACATATTCCTGTAGCATGTCCTGTCCATCCTTAAAGAGGCTAATGCTAGAGTGCTCCTGTTATCTTTTTATGATGCCAGCTGCAATTCCTCATCAATATTGTGCTAACCATTCCAGAATCTTACCTTTTAAAAATAAATATTTTTTAATTCCACTATTTCTTGAAGGAGATCAAGGTGACTATTTTCACCTTCTGAATGTTGATAAATAAGTCCTATTACGTAGCTTGAATTGAAATTTGATGAGTATGGTTTTTCAGTGATCTTAATGGTTGATAAATTGAATCCTGAATTAATATTTTTGTTCGATGGAGGCTCTGCCAAAGTATTCTCTCCATAGATTATGATATGTTTTGTGATTAAGAGCAACTTTCTTAATCGGATATAGCCAAGAATTCCTAGTTACTATTTATGAGGAAATCAGTAAATTCCCTCCAATACACTCCAGAGAAGAGTCAGGTTTTACAAAGGGCACATGATTTTAGTTTAGCTGCCTTGCTCATTTGACATAAAGGAATTTGATTGATGATTTTAATAGAAAGATATAGCCAGGGATTAGTATATCCTTGAGATGGTCTTTACTGATTCTGTCTTGTCAATATGCCGACTAGAACAATTGCTAGCTTTTGCAATAGTAAAATCAAAATCCATGTACAGACAACAGAACTAAAAACAAAACAAAAGTTCTTTTTCATAGGCCTGCTTTTGAATCCCGAAGGCTTTGTATTTATAAAGAGATTACAATTTCCCATGTTCTTAATGTATTCCTTCTTTTCCTATAGCTTTAGCATGGATGCTTTCTGAAATGAAAGTATTGTAGTCAGATAATTTATACTGCTTCATTAAGTACAAGGAATTGCAAATCTGCCTTGCCTAAGATAGCCAACACTAAAAGCCCATCTGAGAAGTAATGAGCAATTTGCAAAGCTTTGCCTAATCAGATGTGTTCTTCCAAATGTAACTGTTCAACAAGCTAGGGAAAGCATGCAGAGCATGGCTTCTGGAATTCTTTCCAATCCCTTAATAATAGCAACACTGCAGGTCATGTGACCTGGGTGGAAGAAAATTTAGAATCAAGGAGTTGGCAATATTCTAAACTACACCATCTGCCTCTTCCACAGGGATATATGGGAAATTTCTTCCAGGATTTCTTTTTCTGAAACTTCTCATCAAGTCCAACCAGTTTTTGAATTCATTTTTATTTTACCAGCTTCTGTTCCCACACTGGATTTGGTTCTGTTCTGTTCAGCATTTGGAGAGTTGTCATATTCCCATTCATATTGTTTCTTTCCAATACTCTGATAGTTGGAAATAATAAAAAGCTTAAATGCTATTAATGTATTTAAATATTTTCATTAACTTTAGTTTTTAAATGTATAGTGTTAAAGATAAGGATAATAAATGTCAACTAAAGATTAATGGTTTTTCCTCCAATGTATAGTATTGAGAAATTTATTTAATGGCAACCCTATTATATTAATAATTACTTACTACTTACCTGCAATAATCTACATATAATATACTATAAATTAAAATGTTATATAATTTACTGCAATTGCCCTTTAACAGTATAATAAATATAAAATATAAGTTCAACATTTCAAACTGGATTTAATGATACTTTTTCATAACTCTCAGTTCTAATTTTATATTAAACCAATACAACTTTAAAAAGTATATCAAAAAATGAACAGTGCCTTTGTAAGAAATGTAAATGCCCACAAATATGTTGAATGTTATAACTGAAATATATATTTATGTTGTCTGAAATACATAACTCCTCCTTGCCAGGGGTGGGATTCTACCGGTACTGAACTGGTTGTTATGATTCTCTGTAGTTTGGAGAACTGGTAAATCGAGCTTCTGGCTGGCCCCGCCCCTCTCCACCCACTTCTTCGCTCCCTGCCCAGTCAGTCTTTATTGCGCATGTGTGACATGCGCATGCGCAACATTGCTGCCTGCAGCCTGCTTTTGCATGCCCACCAGGCCAGCCATTGCTGCCTGCCTTCCGCTGTGGCTCTGCCTGAACTGCTCTCCCTGGGTGAGTGAGGATCTGCCACCACCGGTCGCCTTCCCCCCCATACCACTTGCCTTTCCCCTCCACTTGCCTTTTGCCACTGCTGCCAGTTGCCTTTCCCCCCATTTGCTTTTTGCCGGTGCCGGTTGCCTTCCCCCCACTTGCCTTTTGCTGCTGGCGCCAGTCACCTTTCCCCCACCACTTGCCTTTTGCCACTGGCGCTGGTCACCTTTCCCCCACCACTTGCCTTCCACTGGGGAACACGTGGAGAGGCTCGTATAGGCTCCGGCCAGGTCAGCAGCTGCTTCTCTCACCTGCTGCTCCAACTGGGAGAGTAAGAGAGTTTCCCAGGACAGTGAAAAGCTTGCAAGTCCCCCTCCCATTGGAAACGGCTCCTGGGCAGCAGAGAAACAGCGAGGTTGAATCCTGCTTCTCTCTGCTGCTCGGGAGCCATTTCCAATGGGACTGGGACTTGCAAGCTTTTCGCTGTCCCGGGAAACTCTCTTACTCTCCCAGCAAGAGCAGTAGGAAGGAACATGTGGAGAGGCTCATGTCAGCAAGGTGCTCCTTGATCAAGTCCAGGACAGCTGACGGCAGCTGTGGGGAGCAAGCCTGGAAGCCCCATGCACCACGTGTGCGGCTGCATGGATGGTGGGGGGGAGCTAGTCCCAGAAGCCCCGACGCTGCCAGAATCGCCATTGCCTTCTTTGCTGCCATCGCCATTGCCGCCTTGCTGCTGCTGCATCCCCCACCCCCCACAGGTATGGGGAGCGTGAGCCCCAGGACGGGTGTCCGACCGCCTCAACTGCTGTTCCCACCGACTTTTCTCTGTGCCAAGAGTGGAGGCGAGAGAGAGAGAATGGCCCTCTTGGCACGAAGAAAAGTCTCATTTCTCCCCATATTCCTATCTCAGTGAGCAGCCTCTCACAGCACCTTTAAACTTAATGTGCTTTATAAATGAGGAGGAGGTGAGGAGGCTGCTCGCAGAGAAAGGAATATGGGGAGATGCACGACTTTTCTCTGTGCTAAGCTGCTTTTGCCAGTGACTCCAGACTGTTTTTCCCAGCTAAGACTAGATTATCAAGGAAAAGAAAATAACATGCAGCAGATGTCTAGCAAAATTTAGTAATATTGTTGCAGATTGGGTGTTTACATTGAAATCAGGTGCAAGATAGTGATGATAGGTAAATTATTGGGCAGTTCAGTTTGGTATTTATTTCAGTAGACTGATTTTAGAAAACTAAACAGAAACAGACCTGGTAAGTATTTGGCTGGGAAGCCAACACAAAATAGGGTGTGGGGAGGAATGGGGTTGGAAAGGAAAGAAGGAAGATAGGATAAAATAACTTTTATTGTCATCTTTTTACTGTAAGTAAAGGGATGTTGTAACTGGTCATAAGTGTGTGTGTGTGTGTGTGTGTGTGTGTGTGTGTGTTTGTATGTGTGTGTGTGTGTGTATACAAGTAGCTCTGGGGAGGTCAGTCGTAAATTAGAATACTTGCTAAGCAACTGGCCATTAAGCAAGGACCGCTTATATTTGGTTTGCCAGTCACATGGCCACCTAGCCATGCCCACCCCAGTCACATGACCACCTAGCCACACCCAGCCAATCACATGACCACCAAGCCACGCCCAGTCAGCAAGCCATGCCCCAGTCACACGACCACCAAGTCACACCCACAAATTAGGCCATGCCCACAGAACTGGTTGATAAGAAATTTGAATCCCACCCCTGCTTCTTGCTCATCAGAAATGAACAAAGCTGTCAATACTCTGCTATCAGTAATGTATTTGTTTTATTTAGTCATCATTTTTCATTGCTGAGGAGCAAGAAGGTTTTAAATATAGAGAGATGACAAGATGACAAAAAGAGTGTATTGTTTATTTAGTAGTCATAGCAGTAGGATACAGTCCACTAGTCCTTCAAAATTTTCTGCTGAAAATGATTTGCTATTTCTTTAATTCAGCAAAAGGAAACCAGGACGCTCCAGATGTATAAACTCCAATTCCCTGTGTTAATGGTTATAAGATTTGGAATCCAAAAAAGGTCTAAGTGAGTTAATCTCTCCTGAGAAAATATGTGAGAAGAATAGTAATGACTGGGAGAAGTTGCAGTGTAATTGGTTCCTAATATAATACTGCACTGATACTGCAAGATTAGTTACATGTTTTGCATGATTCTCTACACATCTACATCATATCCAGCACTAACATATAATCCATCAATTCACTTTGTAAAGTGGTGCATAATTTCCATTTTTCCCATCTCAGGTAAAAACTGCTTACCATCAAGTCATAGGTTGCAGCAAATTGCTCTGAAGTGCACGCCAGCAACTTCCTAAATGTGTGTCTTTTCCCAAAATTCTACCAGAGCTATGTTTGGCAGCTTCAGGATCCTGGAGAGGCAGTTGCTCTAAAGAGTTACAGACAGTTACCTATTAATCTGAAGCTCTGTGCGGTTTAGATGAGTTTCAAAGATTCACAGTATTACATTGTATAATATATTATTGTCTTCTCGTTAAAGATTATAAGAACTTTATAACTAATGCACATATATTTAGTTTCTTGGTGCTTTTCTAGAGAATCCACTTGCATTTAAAATAATCAGTAATTTATTCTACCCAAGTCTCCAGTTATATTTTAATCATATAGGGTTAAAAGATGAAATGACATCTGAGAATTTTTTAAAATTCAGATAGTGAATTGATAGTCAGAATGCTTAAGATTATTTCCTGTAAAACTACAATTGTGCTTTCTCATTACTTTTTTCCATAGATACCATCACTAATTCAGAGTACTTTGTACAGAATTTAAATATAGAGCTTTGACAAAAATTTTTTTGCCAAATGGAATATCATGAGAGAACAAGTCTGTGTATAACCTAAAGAATAAAGACAATACTAACCAAAGGTCTTATAAATGCATGCACAAAAATAAGGGATGATATTATTTAATAAAATGAGGATTGAAACTTGTAAAAGTTAATACAAGAGCTAAATTCCTGTAAATTCATGATAATGGTTAAAGTGCTGTTTAATATTTTTCTTTATTCTAGTGTTCACCATGGCCTGATACACCTGCATTTGTGAATAATAGCCCTACCCCAACACCCGCTTTTACTTCTTCTCCACACACTACTTACAGTATCCCAGACAGGTATATTTAACTTCTAAGCTGATATGCCATATTAAATCAAGATTGAAGTTCAAGCTAATTTTAAGTGTTATGACAAAAATAAAATTGCCAGTCAGAAATTTCAATATAATTAATGTGATAGCATTCTTTGATTTAAATGTACTCTGTTACATTATGACATGGTGCATCACAGAAATAAAGAGAAAATGGGAAGGCAGTTTTCAATTAAGCTTTTGAGAATATCAAAAAAAAAACCTGCAATATTTCTTGCTATATTACGAAAATAAAGATTAAAACAGTCTTATTGATGTGTGATAGGACTTGGAGGTAAATAGTATGCTCTAACTGATCCTGCTAGATATTTTATTGGTATTCTTTAAAAGATAATGGTATTGTTATGGGCTATCTGCAAGGTTTGGAGATTTAAGACCATGCTTTACAGTCATTCCTCTCATTTCTTGAGAGGGCAATTCCAGTCAGTATTGTTTATGAAGAATAGATCAAGCCATGGGGCACTTTAGTATGGTGTACCTCAGGCTTGATTCCCATTTCTCATTTGTTTAGCACCCTATATGGCACTCATGAGACAGGATTCTTCATTAATTTTGGTTTAGATATCAGTATGTTGACACTGCTCATTTTATCTGCTAGCCTCAGGTGGAACTATGTGTGTCTGTGTCTGTATGAAAGAGAGGAAGAGACAGATAGCGAGATGTCAAACTGGAATCTGAACACTCTGAGGGACTGGACAAGCTTAAGCAGATTGTTGAATCCTAACAAAACAGGGTTATTGCTGGTGCAGAAACTATAATTCCATTATAGCACTTGACATATAAGGGGTGATGAATACTCTCAGCTTTTTCCTGACTCACAGTTACTCTTAGAGAAATCGCTGGAAGCCATGGTCAGAGGAGCCTTTGTCAGCTTCATTAAATACAGCAATTTCCCCACTTCTTGGACCAGGAAGCAGTGAAGATGTTAACTGACACACTTGTCAACTCAGCTAAATTATTGCAATTCATTATGCCTCCAAGGGGTTGCCCTTGAAGTCAATTCAGAATTTGCAACTAGCAAGTAATCAACAGACCACTTGCTGACTAATTTAGCAGGATTTCACTAATATTGCAGAGGCTGTGCTGCTAACTACTTGCTTCAATGCCCAGTTCAAGGTATTGCCAATAAAACTTATTATGGTTTGGATCCTTATTATCTTTGAGAAGATCTTCTGGTAGAATCTGCCCATCCTACCCAGATATCTTTCTTAAGATGGTGATGGCATTCCGATAAGAAACCCAGCTTATTAATAACTCTAGATCAGGGGTATCAAACTCAATTTCACTGTGGGCTGCATCAGGGTTGTGTTTGACTTCAGGGGGTGGGGGCAGCTCAACATCACTTGTGCTGATGGGCACCTGTGGTAGCCCGAGTGCTTTGCCAGTGAAATGGAGCTTGGGAGGGCTGCAGCAGAGAGCTGCAGGAGGCCATTGCAGCCAAAAACAGTTCCATTTTCACTGGCAGAGGCATCACGGGCTGGTCCTATGCTGTTTCCAAGGTGGCCCCACAGACAGATCTAACCACCCTGCGGGCCGGATCCAGCTTGTGGGCCTTGAGTTTGACACCCCTGCTCTAGATGTTATAGATAGTCCTTGACATCATCATCATCATCATTGTTGTTTTGTTTTTGTTTTATTTCCAAAGTTAAAATACAAAGGGAACAAGAACAAAACTAAACAAGACAAAAAATATGCAATGTGTGGCTGGTGATCTAGAGGTGGAGCTGTTGCCTCACAATCGGGAAGCTTGAGTTGGATCCTAGTTAGCAGCAGGCACAAAGAAATTATCTGCGGTGAGCTCCATGTAGGCATCAGGAAGGGCATCTGGCCAGTAAATGCTCAGCTCCATTCAGTCACCCCAACTCTGTCCCAATGCATGAGATTGCCAGGTTGTTAAAAATACATAGATTGTCCTCCCAGTTGAATACAGATAACTATATTTCAACAGTAGTAGTTTCCGTCCACTTCAAAACAGATCCACAATTTATGAACTTCTACAGCTCTCTTCAACCAATTGACTTAACATCTATCTACCATAAAAAACAACAGTGAACAGAAGTTTATCAAACTTCAAAGCCCTCTGTAAACACACTATTACTGTATTTAACTTGCAGAAAGTCCACAACAACTTCTAATCTACCATAAGCCCATTAAAAATCAAATATCCTGATTTTTAATAATAAAATATTTCCTTAAAATTATTGCTTGGTTCTTTCCAAACAATTACATCATTCCCCACACTCATAGATCTGTTGTAAATATCTCTGCAGCACTTGTTCAGATTTTCCTATGAATCGAAACGCATTTCTTGACAATTGACTTCTAATTTCATAAAATAAATCTGTATCCATCAGTTTTTTTTAAAAAGGTCCAGATCATCATTCATTCTATCATCTTTAAGTTTTTTGAATTCATGCCTCTTTCAGCCTCCTCCGACAAGCCTCTTATTATCAAACAAAGCTCCTTCTCCTTCACATCTGTCAAGTTCCAAACCACCCAATTGAAAGTCTGATTTAGCTGCTGTTACCTGCATCTGGGTGTGCTCCTTGGGTTGATTTAAAACTACTTTAATACATTAAATCTTTTATCTGAATTTTCCTTTAGTGCTCGCAAATTGAAAAGCATTTTTTTCAAAGGTAGTCCTCGACGTAGAATTGGGACCATAATTTATGTTGCTCTGTGATGTGATTAAGTCATCACATGATAAACCCAATTTATGACCTTTTTACTGTGGTTTTAAAGCGAATCACATACTCATTAAGTGAATCTAGCTTTCCCAATTGACTTCGCTTGTCACAAGCTTGTTGAGAAGTAATATATCATGATCATGTGATCCAAAAGACTGCAACCATTGTGAATGTAAGTGATTTGCCAAACATCTAAATTACAATTATGTTATCTCAGGAGTAGTATGATGGTGTAACTTCGAAGATGGGTTGTAAGTCACTTTTTCAGAGTCTATCATAACTTTGATCCCTTGTTAAATGAATGGCCATAAATCAAGAACTATCTATATTATAGTTTTTATCAATAGTACTTAATACTTTTCCCATTTTTTATTTATACAACTTTTTGGATTCTTCTTATTAAATTTATTGCCACCTATCTCGTTGGAAGTTACTCTAAGCAGCTTACAGTAATAAAAAGGAAGAGATGAAAAGAACATAAACCAAACAAATAAAGTAATAGAATAATAAAATGAACAATAAAAAAGAGAATACTCCATTATGAACAAAAAGATAGGCTGGTGGAGAGCATAGTGCAAGGGGGGGGGGGCGGGTGGAGACTGCCATCAATGCAGCAGCCATCCTCCCCATTTGGTCCCCAGACTAACCAATAGAGCCAGGTCTTCAGGCTCTGGGGAGGGGAGGGGGCAGATTTTATTAGGATGTTCTAAAGGATAGGTGCTGCTTCAGAGAAGGCTCTTCTGGATCCTGATAGTTGGAGCTCTTTGACCAACAAGATACATAGTAATCTTCTCTGCTGGCACAGATTGGATGAGCTTGCCCTTGTGGGATTGAATATTTTTTTAGGTAGTCTGGATCTCTGCCATTAAGAGCTTGATTACCCTCCCTTCGAACTCATTCAGAAGCAGACTAATAGCCAATGAAATTTGCAGAGCAGAAGTGGATTTTGGGCCATCATATGAGCTCCAAAGACTCCTCTTACTGTCAACACTTTGCACCAGCTGAAGCTTCCAAATGGATTTAAAAGGTAACCTAGCACAGAGCATATTGTAATAGTCCAGAAGAGGGATAACTTGGGTTTGGCAACTGAGTGCAGGAAGTCGTGATCCAGGAAAGTTTGCAGTAAATGTATAGACTGGAGCTGTGCAAAAGCTCTCCTATCAATTAGTCCAGAAGACCTCTAAGTTGCAAACTGAATCTAAACAGAGTATGCAATCCCATCCAGAACTAATGATAACAAAAATCAAATCTTGAGGCTCCATGCATCCATATCAGTCTTGCTAGAGTTCAGTTGAAGTCCCCCATCCAGATCCCTACAGCCTCCAGGCACCATGAGAGGGCAGAGGCAGCATCACTCAGGTCACCAGGTATAGAGATGCAGAGCTGAGTATCAGCATATTGGTGATGTTTCAAGACGTAATGAATGATCTCAACCAATGGCTTCGTGGAGGTGTTAAACAGAAGAGGAGAGAGTATTGAGCCTTGTGGGACACTGCTAATGAACAGACTGGAGCTAGATCTCACTGCTTATCAACAAAGATTGGGACTGACCTTGGGAAAAGGAGCTGAACCATGCAAAACTCTGCTGCCCAGCCTCAACTCATGTAGCCAGCCCAAAAGGATATCATGCTCAATGGGTATCAAAGGTCGCTAAGAGGTCAAGCAGAATGAGAAATGTTGCGTTACCCTGCTCCTACCAGAGATCGTCCATGAGTGCGACCAAGACTGTCTTTGTCTCATAATCAGGTTAAATGCTGACTGAAAGGGGTCCAAGAAATCAATTTCATCTGGGACCCTCTGGAGCTGCCAAGCAACCACCTTTTCTACTGTCTTACCCAAATAGGGAAGATGGGAGACTAGACAAAAGTTGTTCCAGTGATGGTTTTTTTAAGGATAGGACAAACCAGTACTTCCTTAAACCATCTCAGGAATGTCCTCTCTTGCAAAGAGGAATTTATCACTGCATGAATCCACCTACTGGTGACCTTTTCTGAAGGCTTTCACCAGCTAGGAGGGACAAAGGTCTAATTGACAAGTGATTGAATTGTCGATTAGGTTGAACAGAGTCAAACTATTATTGGAAGCTTATTAAGCAAGAGTCACAGGAAAAGTGGCATACAAATACGTGAAAATAAATAAATTTGTCTAACCAAATTCTGTCTAATACCAATATTTTTCTATTTCCAGCATGCCAAATGAAATTACCTTACAACATCTTAGATTGTTTTAAGTGCTGTTTATGACAGTCCAAATGCTTCCAAAGAGATCATTAATTTTATGTTGTTACTTACTCTTTGCTGTGGAAAACAGCTAATAGGAAAGTAGTTCAGATATACCCTACTGAATCAGAGCCCTGATTTCATATTTTTTTTTAATTTTAATTTTGTGATTTTCCTTTGTCACACTTCTGCCTATTTAGTAATTCATCATCTCCAAATCATCAAGGAGAAGGTGTTTCCTTAACGGGTGGTGAGGTAAGTGCCAGTTTCTCATCTATCAAGAAACTTGCCATATTATTTTCAGATTTAGTATCTTGAAAAAATCATAACATTGTACACTGCTTTTTCTCCTTTCTCCCAGCAACTTCATCCATCAGCCACAATCCAGGAAACCCAGCAGTGGCTGCTTAAACATAGGTTTTCCACTTATACAAGGGTGTTTTCTAATTTCTCAGGTAGCTCAATATTTTACAGAGTTTGCTTTGTATTTTAAAAGTAAATAATGTAAGTTTCAGTTTGATTTATTTGTATGATTATAGATTACATATATCCAAGGTACTATCTTTGTGATTTTAATTGTTATTTTTATAGCAAACTATAAAAATGACCTTATTGCATCTAAAAGGGAACATTTTTCATGTATCTACAGAGTGAATAATTGACTATGATTCAAAGATTTTTTTGCTAAATACTTGCTACCAATATATACCTCATCAGTTCAGTGGAGGTTAAAATTATTTTTGGTACTAATGTATATCATATTTCTTTGCCATTTTATTGCCAATCCACTTTGTAGATAACTTCTGCTTGGATTCTCATCCTAAGGCTGAACAATCTTCAGCCTTGGCCGTGCCAGTCTACATCTGGTTAAGTGTCCTTTCTACAAATAAGTAAATATAAACAACTTCTTTCTAGTACTATCAATGTATTTGTCAAATAAGAATTTAGGATTTGGTTATAAAAGTTAAAAGAGTTGAGTCTCCACAAAGCATAAGTTTTGCATTACCCTAATCCTCAAGTGCCACACCATCTCACCATATCTTCAAGCAAATTGGTTGCTTCTATAGCCTTCTCTTTAAAGTCCCTCTACTGTATACTGATAATTATTCTGTAAACAGCATCAGAAACCAAGAACACTGTTTTTACACAAGAAGAGAAAAATACTTGATATCACAGGATAAATTTAATTGAAAATTAAATAGAACTATTTAATAACTAAATAGAAACAATGGATAACAGTCCCAACTTTTTAAAGTAGCACTTGAAAGTTAATTTTCATAGAGCATTTCCTTAAATGCAATTAAAGAGAAATCCATTTTGATTACCTAAATAATGCATGGAGTTTTGATATCTTATGACATACTATAAAAGTATCTACAATTTATGAATGTATGTATTATTACAACATATGCTATATTTCCACAGATCTGAGTTATTTACAGTATTACTATACAAAGAGTAAAACCAAGATCAGTCAATATATTCTAAGATAGTTTCGCTCCATTCAGGCCATAAAAATAGTTGACTATCCATTCAGGAGTTCCACTATATCACCAATCCAGTCAGGGTGGAAATACATAACTGGGTGACCTCAGTTTATTAATATCTCACCGGTACTTGTGAATGACCTAATATCTCATTCTGCGTTGGTGAATGACCTCTCCCAATAGTCTCATAGATGTTTAACAATAGTTGAGAAGACTGAGCCTTGCAGCAGGCAATAATGAAATGATTAAGAATTTAACCTGTTCCCAATCAGCTGTAACCAGACACTCAGGAGGAACCATTCAGGAATAATGCCTCTCTTTTCCAGTCCATATAATCAGTCCAGATAAATACCACAGTTGGTGCTGAAGGCTGCCTAGAAATCCATCAGAACCACTATAGCGGCATTGATTACACTGCTCTTGCCAATGATCCTCAACGAGAGTAATCAAAAAGTGTTCATTGCAACACCATAGCTGAATCTTGATTGAAAAGATTTCAGCTAATTGGTTTCATTCAAAAGAAGGTTGGAGACCTTGATTGTCTAAAATGAACCAGATCATGTAGACCAAATCTAGAAACAGACTCCATAGGAAGCTAGAATTATAGTCCATTGATATAGGTTATAATAACAGAATCTTGCAAGTCTGATTGAGTTTTTCCTTCCCTCCCTCTTATCCCCAATCAGTAAGGACAAGTCAGCCTAAGTGTTTTAATATCTCCCCAGGATTTATGAAATGTTCCTGTTCTGTTAATATACGAGTATCTGAATATTTGCTTCAAGTTGTCCCTCTGTGGGTCTGCATTGGTAGAGTGATGATTTCTTGTCTTCCTATATCTCTACATTGGTAGAAGTAATTTCTTGAAGAGTGACTATATTACAATCTCTTTCAAGGTGGGAGGTGGACTCAATGATTTATCAATGTGACCTTTCAGGCTACCAACCAGGTAGGATAGAAATTTAGTCCACCAACACTGGAGCTAATAGAACAGAGTACCTTATATCTATGCTTAGCATTAACAAGTTCAAACCAATGTTAGATAATCCTACCACAGTCATCTCAGCAGGATTTGTTCATCTAGCATCTAACTCTGAGCAAAAATATCTTCCAGATATTTAGTTTACTCTAATGGTTTCATGTTCACTGGAAATAACCAATTGTTAATTTGTAGTGCTACCAATGAGCATGCAACTGAAAACAGTTGCAAAATACACACAAAATATACATTATGTAAAAATAGAAAGAAAAATCCTTCTCTCCATATATGTGTGTGTAAATAATGCAATATATGACAGCATAGCATAACATTCGTATCTTTGTTCTGAGAAATTAAGGAAAAATAGGCAACGTACACTTGTGATCAAAAAGTCAATTTAGACTTTTTTAGTCAGTTGCTTGGTCAAATATGTTTTTCTTATGACATCATTGCTCTAGCCATGTTTTCTGTTACTTCATCTTCTGGAACTCCTTGGTCCCATGGATCAGGTCCCATGGATCAGTGACTAGAGAGGATTGTTCTTGAATAATCTTGGCAAATGCTCCCAATAATATCTTATTTCTAGCTTCAGGGGTTTAAGAATGAGAAAGGAACAGGATCCATTAAACATCTAAGGCAAAACAGTTGGATAGTTTCTTTTTCCCTGTGGAGGTTACTGGAATCAATTAAATCCATATAAACAGAGAGAATGATTTGGCTATAAGTAAGGATTTTTTCCCCATATAGGTATTATTGTTTGGCATATAGAAAACAAAATTATATTCAGTTGTCCCTCTCGAGCCAGCTAAGTTTATCCATACAGAAGTAGGTAGTTGTGTATGGGTTTTATTTCAGCTAAGTGTTTTTGACATGAGGGTACTGAAACATCCACTGCTATGCAGTTTAAGCAAAACTACTGTTAGCAGCTGTTACAGTTTTAAAAAACAACAATGAAAGAACTGAATATGACATTTGTTATGCCATTAATATAATTTTTATCATGTAATAATCATGTTTATGTTTTTATTTTTCTGTGCTTTTCTGAAGTGTTTTAAGACATCTTGTAAGTGTGCTCTGAATTACCATAAAATATGAAGACTGAGTATTAATTATTGATTTTAAATGAGTAGAGAGATTAAGTGTACATCAAATTTAGTTTGCTTAGAATTCCTTAAAGCCAAATGTTTATATTCACAAAGGTTATTAGTAACTTATTCAAAAATATTGTCATCTATCTTTGAAAGACAGTTTTATTTTGTAAATTGATTTCTAGCCTTCTACTTTGTATACATTCTGAATGTCTTTGTAGGTGCTGATTTATTGAAGCTGACAAGAGAAGATCTGATACAAATCTGTGGTCCTGCTGATGGAATTCGGCTTTACAATGCACTTAAATCAAGGTAAATAGTTCATTAGTGTCAACTCTACCTATGTCAATCATATAAAACAGTCTGTCTTAGACTAGAGGGTTTGGGAGATGCTAATTTAGTTTTTCGATTGGCATATGCCTGTGTGAGCTCATGCAAGAGTTGCAAGTACTGTGCTCAAAAGAAGAATGTTTTGTTGTACACCTTCAGGGCAGGCCACAGATATGATGCAGGCACTGATGAGCTCAAAGGTAGACTGTAAGACTGATAGCAATGCAGTTGGGCAGTTCTGATTTCTTGAAGACGGATGGGTTTGTTGCCAAGAGACAAAGCTTCTCATTTAGGTGAGCTATAACCAAACTAAAGTTCTTGAGGTCATGGCTACTTACTAAATATTAACAATTGCAGATTTTCTAATTGTGAATTAAAATGGCATATTTTTTTAACTTGCTGTTACTTCTACTATGGTAGTTGTTTTACAAAAATTACACCAAACATCAATGTTTTACTTCTTTCATTTAAATGTAAAACTTAATTTACCAATATTGGGATATCTTCAGTGGTTCTTGGCTAAACAATATGTGATAAAATGTTGCGTAGTTCACAAAGAATAACATTAAAGTAATATAGTAGAATGAGCATGCATTTACAGTATTCTTCAAAAAAATATTTATTTCTTTACATTCTAGATCTGTTAGGCCACGTCTAACAATTTATGTATGCCAAGAGCAGTCAAGAACTATACGACTGGAAAGGCAACAAGACTCAGGCAATGGAGAAAATAATGGTGCAATATTCGGTATGTAATTTCTCTTGGTATCAAATATACTGTTCCTGTATCTTGGAATAATGTTCTTTGTATGTCAATTACAGATTTCTTTGAGGCATTGAAACCAGCCTTGTTAAAGAATGAAAAATCTTTTAAGCTTTTTTAGTGGGACAGATCTATTTTGAATTATATACCATGTTGTTATAAATTTTATTTGTAACACAACTTGTATTTGAAAAAATACACAGAAGTGAGTTTGTAGCTGGAAGTTTATATTGGAATGCATAAATAGCTTCCAGTTTTCTAAATTACAATTTAGGTTTGCTATCCCGGAAACAAGTAATGCCAAACTGATACTGATTAATAGATGTATTAATGAGACTTAGATGAGACTTAAAGAAAGCTCTAATGAAAAATATGGAAATACGTTCCCTTCAAACTTGATTAACAAGTAGCATTTGTAAAAAAAAACAAGTGTGTTAGGATTTCTAGAGTTTCCTAATATGATTAAATTTGGCATCTTAATTCATCTTAGATGAAGAATCAACTTTTCAGATTTATGAATAGTAGAAATTGAAGCAAATTATGGGTAATTCAAGGAAAAATATGAGCCATTTTCTCTTGAGCTTCAATTCATGGGCAGATAACCTGACATTTCCCTGAATAATTTAGTGGTAAAATTCAGAATTTGTAGTTCCATCAATAGTAGCAAAGGTTCAATGGCAGCAAAGCAAGCCGCAACTATGATACTGCAACCATTTTTCAAACATCAAATAAGGTTCTGGAATGAAGTGTTTGCCTTTTTGCCAAACAACACTTTTCATTCAGGCAAAAAAGTTTCTTTGGTCTCATTTGACCACAGAATATTCTTCCGACAGCCTTATCCATATGTTTTTTTTTTTTTTTGTAAACTATAGGCAGGCATGCATCAGTGTTTGTTTGGAGACTATTGGCTTTATTCTTCATACTTTTGCCATACATGGATATTGTATCATTTTTTCTCAATAAATCAATGAACAAATATAATATTTTAACTCAATTGTTTAGTTAGGTTCTCTTTATTCAGTTTTGGGAATTATATGGAGTACAGAACACATTTTAGGTCATATTTTCAAAGAAAAATTAAAATATCAGAAAGATTCACAAACTTATATTCATCACAAAACAGATACCATTTTGTATAAATAAATTATTTCAATATAATATTTCAATGACAAAAGGAGCATGACTGCATTAATAAATGCATTGTATTCAAATTTTGGGGAAAACATTTGGTCTAAAAACCTATAAAATCATGCTGTAGTAAGTTTTTCCATAATGAGTAAAGACATAAAGGATAAATTATATAAAAGTATGTAGTGGAAGTTAAGCCATTCATTGAGAAAGGTACACTTGTAAAAATAGAAATGTTCTGGGAATATTGATCTAACTGCCTGTGAAGTCAATTGACATTTTTCTGTATACTGCTTTGTCCTAAACAATTCTGTTTTATGGTGCAACATTGCCAACTACCACCTAGCCATCAGAACAACTTTAAAAAACAACAACACCCAATCCATTTCCAGGCCAACTGGATAAGCATAGCCTGAGAAAGGAGGAATATTAGATTTTAGATACTTATTAAAAAGGACATTATGAGATATTCACATATTCACTTCCAGATATAAGGATACGGCAGCAATAAATCTCCTTTCCCAAAGTACAGGATTGTTTTCTGTCTTAAAATCTCAATTTACAGGAAAGATTCTGCTTTCCGTGGATGTTGCATTTGAAGTCAGGATTGATTACATTTGCATAGAGTAAGATTGTACATATTTATGGAACAAGGGGATGCTTCCACTTAGAAAAATATAGATTTTTTTTTTTTTTACAAAAAGGCAAAGATCAATGCCTGATCATTTTCTCCTTTCATATACAGCATGGCTTAACTATAATTCTTTCAATGGCTATTGTATTATTTTAGAGTTTACTCTTTATTTCAAAAATTATTTGGAGAGAATATTTTGTTCCTTGGCTTACTTCTATTTCAAGAATATTATGAAAGATAGTAATAATCTTCATTAATGTTTGAGCCATCTTTCAGCAGCTGGCATTCAGGTTTGAGGTGCAGAACGTAATTCAAACAATCAGATTTTTAGTTGAATTGAAGAGAAAGGAATATATGAAGTGGGTCTCCAGGCTGTATGTTTCAAACATCAGTGTTGTAGATCTATACATGAAAAATATTTTTAATGATCATGTTAGCAAGCTATGCTTCATAATTCTGCAATTTTATAGAATAGAACACTAGTAATTTAATACAAGACAGAAATCAAGAAGTATTTGTATTTGAAGAGCAGTATTATGGGTTCTTTTAGAAGACCCTTTCTTAGGATATTTTTTTATTTTAGTTTACCATGCAATCTACTTGGAAGAAATGGCTGCCTCGGAAGTCACTCGCAAGCTTGCTTTGGTGTTCAATATTCCTTTGCATCAAATTAATCAGGTTTACAGACAAGGTCCTACTGGCATCCATATTCTTGTCAGTGATCAGGTAAATTCCATTTTTTCCTCACTAACACATATTTTATATTTCAAAAATTCCAAAACAACGCAATCAGTTTGTGTTTTCTTCCTGGCTTAGTTGCTACTGCTGTGGACTAAGAAAGATGTTACAATCAACAGTATGAATTCAAATTCTAAATGAAAGACAAGACAATCAACAAACCAAACTAACCTCATTTTATATATGAAATTTATTTTTCATATAGTATTAGTTAATGAATATCTTGCTTTCCTTAAAATTCAACTAAATTGGTCAAATTTTTAATATTACAATACAAACAGATCCTATAAGCCTAACTTTCATCCTATCAATTAAGCAATTAGAATAAAGCAAAAATCTTTGGAATATGATTCTACTTCTTAAAACTGTGACAGTTCACGAACAGAAGGATGATTGGTAGCTCGTCCTTTGACTTAAAATGCTCAGACTATCACTTGTCTCATGACCATTCTTCTCTTTGTGAACACAGTGTCTCATTTTTGTTGCCGTGTTTCTGAACATTCCAGCTATATTACTATGTATACTATGTAATACAGGGATGGGATTCTACCAGTTCTGACCAGTTCTATAGAACCCCTTGTTAGCTTTCTAAGCAGTTCAGAGAACCGTTAGTTAAAAGCAATCTCCTTTTGTTTTTTTCCACCATTATTACATTCTTGCTTGACTTCCTGTTTCCGGAGCTTCTGGGGCTTGACTTTCTTAAAGGGGAAGGTTGTTTTAAGATTTTTACACTGCTTTTGGGAGGAAATACTTCCCTGGACAATCAGCACTTTGAAGAAATCATTGAATAATGAAGCAGACCTGTCAGAAAGAAGCTTTTAATGACAGGGAATCAAGATTGAGTGACATTCAGCAAGGCTTCTTGGTTAGCTAGAAAGATTGACATTCAAACGTGAGTTTACATACCCTTTCTGATTTTTCATCTAAAACTGGTTTTTGGTGAAGGTTAATTCTGTGCTTGGTGACATTTAATCCTGTGTTTATTGATGGGATAATTTTCCCTATTCAGTTTCAACAAGCAACAGCTACTGTTGTGATTTAATTATTTGTATTGTGTTTGAATTTTTTCCTGCCTCATGGTTTCTTTTTCTATCTGGGGATGGGGGTCTTCCTTCACTGCTTTAGTGGTATCCGGCACTGTCCTTTTGGGGTGTACTTTCAAGAGGCAGGATGCAAGCTTGGCGCTTATTTTTTTACTGCCTTTCTGGGGGGCATGTGACCTTTCCTTCAATCTGGATGATTTCCTTAAGATATCTTGAGATGAGTGAGACCAGCTGGTATCTTTAAATGGTGCAAATGGATCTAAGGATTGCTTTCTGAAGAGCTTAAATTACCTCTCTGCTAAAGGGTTTCACTTTATGAGAAGAGTTGGCTGCTGATACTTATCACTGCATTTTAACTATTTTAATTCCTTAAGGTGCTCTGGTACCCTGCCTGATTTGTAACTCCGGCTTGCAGGTGTTTTTAATCTAATGATTGGTATTTAGGGCAGCTTTTTGCAAGCAAAGAAGCTTTTTATATTTTTGTACAGATAATTATTGACTTATAGCAGTTCATTTAGTGACCATTCAAAGTTACAATGGCACTGAAAAAAGTGATTTATGACCATTTTTCAGTGATGATCAAAAAGTGATTTATGACTGTTGCAGCATCCCCACTGTCATGAGAGGCCAGGCAAGGAGAAGCGCCCCTTGACATGAGTGATGTCGAGTTGGCCACGCCCACCCAGTCACATGACCACCAAGCCACACCCACCAACTAAGCCACACCCACAGAACCGGTTGTTAAAAAAATTGAATCCCACCCCTGATGTAATACTATGTACTATGTATACTATGTAATAGTATATTATGCAATAGTATACTATGCAATAGTATACTAGTATATATAGTAATACTAGTAATATGTGACCTTTATTTATAAATAAATATATCAGATCTATATAATAACTATAACATTGCCACATTTTGAAAATATGCAATAAAAATGTTAAAACTATGCATTATTAGATATCACTGTACTTTTGACTAAATCAGAAAAGAATATTAGTTCAAATAAGAGAAGAACATTAGAAAGCAAGTTGTTTGTGGGGTTTGTTTGTTTGTTAACTTTTTATGTAATGTATTAAACTGATCTGACAATTGTCAACAAACAATAGTATTTATAATCTTCTTTCCTAGATGGTCCAAAACTTTGAAGATGAGAGCTGCTTCCTCATTACCATAATAAAAGGTATGATGGTAATCATAAAAACAGAGAAAATCAAACATTACTATCTAGGATATCTCTCATAGATTTTGCACTTATGAGATTTTTAATTATACTATATTAAGCTTTCTAGAATTTATTTTTACATATAATGTTTATATCAGCTTAGCATGGGAATGAGTCTAGGTAAGCCCTAAACTCAAATGCAGCCACAGAATGTTTTATTTGTTGTATCATTCAAGCATGTCAAGCTATTGTTAATCTTATGTACAGTTGTTAAAACTATGAACTGTGTTTTATGACACAGTTTAGAAGTGTTTGGCACTTCTAAAAATTAACAAGTTAGAGTTAGGAAAATAAATTCATCTTTGACCTCTCTAAAATGAAAACAAAAGCCACAAAGAAGTCCAGCATTTATTATTTCCCTTGATATTTGCACATCATTAGTCTGAAATGTGAATCGTGTGAAATGGTGTATACAGAAACACTTTATGTCAGAGATACTGTTTTTTATGTCAGAGATGCTGTCACTAGGTTTGATATTGCTGTATGGATTTACAAATGTCCCTTAAGGGCATGTTCCAAATGGTTTTTTGCCTTTTTTCATTGAGTTTTGCCCAAGAATTGCTGAAAAGAGCCACACTTAAGATCTTTTTCATCTAAATTATTACATTTAACCAAATGTTATATAACATATATAACCAAAATTAAATCGTAGTCCATTCCTATAAATAGTTCCTCACACAGAAAAATGTTTTAATGTTATTGGAACATCAATATTAGTGTCAGGTTACATTTGTGACAGGTGAAACTGAAAGGAGGGGAAAATAGCAGAAAGAGGAAACCTAAGTGCCACCCTAACTTCCTAGTTACTATTTTTATATAAGTTAATAAGTTATATAAGTTTATATAAGTTAAATCAATTTAAAAATTTATAATCTATTTCTGTAAAATGAAATGATAATTGTTAATTCACAAACCATACAGTAGCTTCAGGATTTTATGAGTCCATAGATTTGCAGAATAATTTTATGAGACCAAAAATTGTTATAAACTATGATTTCCACCTTTTCATAGACATAAAATGGAAACATCATAAATTTTAATTAAGACATTGCATTAATATTAATTTCATTTTGTAATTGCTCATTATTTTCTTTGCAGCTGAAAATGGTGATGGGTTCCATATAATTTTGAAGTGATGTTGCCACATGTATGTCGAACTGATATTCCAATTGAAAAATGAAGTCCTCAGGAATGGCAAATAATATCAAGTCTCTTCAGGGATCTGACTTCACCATATAGAATGTTTCATATTGAAAACACAAGTTGACCTTCCAATGAGCTGTTTAGTAAATGAACTTATCACTGCCATAGCCAATTGTCCTCATTAGAGGTAGAAATAACCCAATAGGCATGGAAAAAAGCAAAGTGCTTAAAAGTGTTTGCCCTTTCTTGAAACAAATAAAATAAAATTGGGAAGCTATGGCCAGTAGATGCAGTATCTTGAAGCATTACTGTTTCCTATTACACTGTATCCAGTTGAATGTAAACTAATACTGGGCATTTCTCTTCTGGTGCCAGTTTGTCTATTATTTGCTTGTGCTTTTATGCTGGTTTTATTTTTTGATGTAACAGAGCACATAATTTTGTGTGAAGATAAGTAATATAATAGCAATCAGGTTTGGGATCTTGAGCGTAATGCTATCAAAACAACATTCTTTGTATAAATTGTGTATAAAGTGTGAATGTTTTAAGTCCTAACCACATGAAAATTAAGCATGTATCAAAGCATATTATCATTAGTACCTAACTGAGAGGTTTATAAAATAAGACCTCTTAGGTACAATATTTTGCTTTTCAACAAATTTGAGAAAATTTGCCTATCCATCATGTTTTTAGTTTCTTGAATGATACACTCCTGCCGTTATATTTTTTTTTAAAAATCTGTAAAATAATGAGTTGAAATTTTTTAATAGAGAAAAGGTAATATAATTGTCACCAAAGTTCAATATTTGAAATTAGGCAAGGTTCCATAAACCAAATAATACCTTTAACAAAATATAGGTGCACTCCAGCATTTTTCAATGTTCGCTCCCACGTGACAACTGTCCTTTTCTTTTTTTTCTCTCTGGCGGTACTGGAAAGACCAGTCTTAGTGTTTATTCCATACAACCAAATACTTGACTAGCACTTGCACATCTTAATGAACTGTACAAATGTTTTCAAATGTTACTTAAGATCATAGCATTCTAGAAAAATATTTGTCTCTTCTGGATTGTTTATTAATATATATACTTGTTGGAAATTAAGACACAAAAAGTAGATTACTTCATGACTTGCTTTTTTAATCAACTTATATCTTGAGTGCAAGAGAAAAGCACCGCATGTCAAGTAATGTTTTTGATTTCAGTTCCATTTTTAATTATGCCTAAGTGAAGTGTTTGAACTATATAATTATTCTAAAAAAGTCAGTTAATTACTTGTATTTGAATGAATGTTTGTTCCCTTTTTTCTTCATGACCTATACTATTCTGCACTGATATGGAGGGAGCTTAGTTTGTGAACATAAACTGTTTTTGAGTTGTTCTTGCTTATAAATTATTTTTTTATTATACTTGAGTGTCTTCGGTTCACTTGATGTGTCATGTCAACACATTTTTCAAATTTGTGGAGAATCTTCAAAAAAATTAAAAGTTGTACAATAGTTTTGTTCATTTGGATTTAATTAATGGCACCAGCAATTTGCTTTTTGTTTTTGGATATTATATATACATCAATTTTAGTAAAAACATTTTCCAATAATGTTGTAAACCTTTTTTTTTTCACTTTTTTCAATGCATATTGAAAAGGTAGATGCTGCTGAAATATATAATTTGGAGAAATGTATCATCCCTTTCGGCTGGAACTAGAATGAGCACTGGCTCATAAAAGAACTGCTTATTCTCTGTTCAGTTGAACTGGATGTGCTGAATAACTTTTTTTAAAAAAAATACTGCTTATATTGACTTGCCACAATGTTTTAAATGATTGAATTTAGATCTAAATATGAATGTCTTTATTCACTAGTAACCTGTACCAAATTTAAATTAAATACCTGTTTAACAATTTCAGTTTCATGAACACCCTTTAAATAGAATCAAAATAAGTTTGTTTGACACGTAATATTTCTCTTCATAGTTTTATTACCATAGACAAATTACAAATAAAATACAGATAAGCTGGTGCAGGATATTCCTCTACCAGGGGTGTCAAACTCAAGGCCCATGGGCCACATCCAGTCTGCAACATGATTGGATTCGCCCTAGTTTGTGATTATAAACTGTTTTGGGCTATTCTTGCCTATAAAATGAAAGAGGCTGGCTCGTGTTGCTTTGGCCCACCCCACCCCATCCTGGCGGGCACGCATGCAACAAGCTGCAGCTGTTACCAGGCATCAAGTTTTCCAGCCTTCTGCACATGCTCCTTTCTCTCCCTCTTCCTTTCAGTGGCTTCAGCTTGAAGAGGAAGCTCTCCAGCCTTTAGGGCAGTGGTCGCCAACCAGTGGGCCAGGGACCACTGGTGGTCCTTGAGAAAATTTTGGTGGTCCTCAGAGAAATGTCCCCCTCAAAGCACTCCCCCTCCAAAGCAATTAATCCAGGCTGCACAGGATCACAAAGTTGTGCCAGCCACATGGCCTGCCCACCTGATGGCCCCCGCCCTTCAGCCGAGCGCAAACCTTAACTTGAGTAGAGCCACGTGAGCTGGAACTGGAAGGTAAGACCAACAGCCAGGGTGGCTTGCTGACAGTGAAAGTCAGTCCCATATTCCAGAGCTGCAGTAGTCACAGGACTGGCCCTTTGGTTATCCCAGAGCAGCTCCTCCAGTCCATGGCAGGCCAGTGCACCTGGATGGAGGAGCAGCTGCTCTGGGATGTGACTACTGCAGCTCTGGAATATGGGACCGACTTTCCCACCAATGTCAGCAAGTCACCGTCAGTCAAAATTCATATTAGTGGCCTGCGGGATTTAAAATTATGAGTTTGGTGGTCCCTGAGGTCCAAAAGGTTGGTGACCCCTGCTTTAGGGCATGCTTCTTTCTCTCTCCCCCCCTCCCCGGTGGCTTCAGCTTAAGGAGGATTGCAGTAGCCTGGCAAGTGCAGTGGTACTGGCTGGTTCCATTCCCATCTTTGCTGGGTTGGTGATTCTTTGATGCCCGCTTTGCCTTCGAGTTGCTTGCTCGTTAGCTTTTGCTTGTGCTGGCAAAGAAGAGGAAGAAGCCTTGTGTCATGTAACAGTGGCCAAGGAATGGGGTTCTCCTGTGGGGTCAGCCATCAAATGAAGTGCCATTTCCCCTGTCCCTCGGGGGGCCAGGTGAGCAAGCTGCTAGGAGGCCCAGTAAGGGTAAAATACCAGATATCTCCAGATATTTAGCTGATAAACTGATTCACGCACAGAGCCCCTCCCTGTTCATTTTAGCATTTCCCAACTTTGGCAACTTTAAGCTATGTCAATTTCAACTCCCCAAATCCCCCAGCCAGCATAGTAGGCAGAATTCTGGAAGTTGAAGTCTACACAGCTTAAAGTGGCCAAGCTGGAGAAAAACTGCTCAAGAAATGATCAGTTCTATCTGTCTCTCTGCATTGGGGCTAACAAGCCATCTCAGCTCAGTCACATGACCACTCAGCCACACCTACCCAGCCGGCCATGCCCAGTGAATGGCATCAAGTCACACCCAGTAAGTATCAAACTGGCCATGCCTACCCAGTCAGCCACACCCACCCAGTTGGCCATGCCTGCCCAGCCCCGAGGTCAATCCTAGCCCTGATATGGCCCTTCATGTAATTGAGTTTGATACCCCTACTCTATACAAATACAAAAACAGTATGTTCAATAAGATTATTTTTACATTTTTGTATTTAAATCATAGATATTAGAATGCATTTCAAATCTGTTTTACCTTTTAGCTGAATTCTTTTTTCAAATTCAGTGTCGAAGAACTTTGAGATGGTGTATTCAATAACTTTCATTCTCTATCATGCCATTTTCTTTATTTTAAAAAAATGTTTAAAAGTGGTTTATTTTTCCCAAATAAAACTTAAAAATGTATTCCTTTATACAAGAAAAATTTAAGGATATGGCAGAAAATTGGATTAGATTGAATACATTGTTTAAACTGTGGCTTACTGGTATGCGGCAAACTTGCATCTGTTGCTCTTCCTTCACAACTCCAAGGTGATTAGAAGTCTTTGTTTAATTGTAATTAATTGAAAGCAAAACCCAATAAACCAAGGTCAAGTCTAATGCTTTGTAAAACAATGGTTAAGTTGGTTTTTGTCAGAGTATATTCATTAACTGGCAGAGACATGGTTAACAAAGTCAGCAAGTAAGTAAGTATGGCAACAGACCAGCCAATGGGAGCTGACAGCCTGGGTGTGGTTTGGCTCTGTGTTTTTGCTGAGAATTGAAACTCAAACTGAGCTGCTACTGCTTGTGTTTTTGTTTATATTATGTTGAAAGAATCTACGAATAGTATTGTAAATTTTACTCATGTTGTTATGTTTATAAAGAAGTTGATGATCCTGCTGAATCACTCATCTGTGTTTTCTAGACTTGAATTTCTACTGCAAACTCTCACAGGTTATGTGCTCAGCTAGAACCAGAACATACATAAAGACTGAATTGTAAGCGACTGCCTGTGTGAGAAACAAGGCAGAGAAAGCTTTGCAGGATGGCTGAGAAAATTAAGGAGACCTCTGATCCTCATTTGGATCAGAAGAATTATATTATTTGGGCTGTAAGGTGGAATGTTTCCTGAAAGCTAAGGAACTGTGGGATATTGTGGAAAACCCACCCCAAGTTAACTGCTGCAGATCAGAGGCAACATGATAGAACAATGGCTTATATCATCTTAAGTTTAAAAGATGATCAATTTATCAATGTAGCTGATTTAAAGACTGCAAAGAAGGTTGCAGAAATTAAGGACTGTATATGTAAGTGTGTCAGCATGCAATATTGTGCAATTATCAAGGAAGTTATACAGAGCCAGTTTGAAACGGGGAGAATCCATTGAGCAGCATCTGGTGAACATGCAAACTTTGTGGAGTTAGAACAGTGTGGAATTCCTGAATCTCAGCATTTTTGGTTTTAAACAGTTTAGATTGGGGGATATTGTTTCTGCAGTGTTTGAATGCAAACCAGAGCAGGAACTGCGAAATAAACACCATTTTAGAAAAAGCCACAAGGAGAAATCCCTGAGGAGGGGGCCCAAGGAGCAGAATGGAAAATTCCAGACTTGCTGTCTCCAGAGAAGAGAAGACCAGCAGGGGATATCAGATTACAACCCAGCAACAGAGGTGGTGCTTCATTTGTGGTGAAAAGACTTACTTAAAGAAACACTGTTTGCAAAGGAAAAAGTTTTTGCAAGGAAGAAATCATTTTCAAGACAGAAGAAGCAGTTTGCAAGGAAGACAATTAGCTGATGGACAGGCTGCTGTTGCAAAAGTCAGCTATTGCTGGAGAAAGCAATGGCTAATTGACAGTGTGGTTAGTCAAACAATTGTTAATAATTCTAAATTGTTTTACAGGATGGATGCAGCTGCTGGAGATGCAGTAGCCTTGGCAAATGGCAAAAGGGCTAAAATCATTGGAAGAGGCAGGAGCTGCCATATTCCATATTTGGAAACAAGGTTCAATGATATTTTGTGTGTGCCTAAAATGGAGCATAATTTGCTGAGTGTCTCTAGCTTAGACAAGCAAGGGTTTGAGACCACATTTGTAAATGGGAAGTGTCTCATAAAGCACAATGGCAAAGTGTGTGCAAAGGGCATAAAGCAGGATAATCTTTATGTGCTGAAGGGACAAAATATTCATTGTGCACAAACATTTGGAAATGTGGCAAAAGATAAGTCATACGTTCATCTCTTGCACTGTAAGCTTGGCATGCCAGCTTCAGAGTT